GTCTCGTTTTCCTACCTGCCATGCATCGTGCGATGACTAGTTACCACCGTCTCCGCTGAGAGCTGGAGACGGATCCCTAGGTGGGCCCCCGAAGCAGCCGGTTTCCTGCGCAAAATTTGTAAAATTCTCGAGGCACTTAGGCCAGAGAAGCTTGTGGACAAAGTCGTGATGTGACATTTTCCCTCGAAGACGAGGCCTCTAGCGTGCGTGCAGTCGGCAGTGAATGAAGTGGAGAGGTGATGTTTCCTCCCCACACGCACACACCATTGAAGCTGCGAAGTTTTTGAAACGGCGGTGACATGCCGCGAAGTTTCCGTGGCCCGTACGGGCTGAGATTAGTGCCGCGAGAAATTTGGTGGTGTTTTGCCGGATTTGAACCAGCCATCTCCTGTCTCAAGTGGGATTCGTGTCCAAGCTATACAGACCTTATATGGGAGACAAGTCAAGGTGGTTTACCACTGCACCATTCAACCATGGCGGTGTTATGAGTGTCGCCTGCACTCCTTGTAGACACAGCTGACCCGTTTCTGGTGCTTCCTAAGCTCATCTTACGTTTGCGCACGTCCCAACACACGGGGAACCTCCGATACACCTCAGCCTCTGACACGTCCGAGTCCTTCCCTGGCAGACCAGGATTCACATCCACTCCATCTCTGGTTCCTCTTCGCCCTCACCACCACGGCCGCGGCACTTAACATACTCCCTACATCCTCAAGGCTTCACGCTCTGACCGGCCGAGGCGAATTACCCGGATATCCAAAGTTAAGGGAAGGGTCAATTCTGGAGAAGGCTTGGTAAGATTTTAGAAAAGAGTATTCTTCGTAAAATGGCAGCGTGCGCATCGCAACACTGACATCGTAAGTACTAACAGTATTCTAAAATCTGATCTTGTCAAATGACACCTTCGATCGGCACCTAGATTGCGCCATGGTAGATAGGAAGGCAAGTCTGAACATTGATGTGTCTAGATTCATGAACTCTCTAGTTCTAGCCTCAAAACTCCTGCTCGAATAGTATGCCGCGTGACGAATTTCGGTGCAGAATAGGGACGTGATGAGATACGTCAAGGTCTTTCTGGCTCTGCTTTCCATCAAACTTGATTCACAACTTAAAAGATCAAAGTTCTCAAAGGAATTACCCCGTAGCAATCCTGGTACATAAATTCTACGACATGAGTGTCTAGTTAATCTGAATAGTCTTTTTGTAAGAAGATATCGGGAGAAGACCTGCTCTTGATGTTCCCAACTCTATTAGGGAATATCTATTGTATAATTTAACACGCGATCTACTAGGTTATATCGCAATATCTATGATTAACTTGAAACAAATATTATATTCCATAATTAGTTTATTCCATAAGCGAAGACAAGTTACTTGTGCACACCGGTACCCGATTTTACTTGTAACAGAAGGCAGTGGTTTCCAAGTATACACAGTGTTTATCAAGCTTAGGATAAGTGGTTACTTGGCTGGAATTATACCTTGGCGCATTTAACATTCTTAGGTGCGATCCAGCCATGCACAGTGCACCTGGTTCAAATTATCTTATTTGTGTCGGTTTATCTAAGACTTAAAAGTAGATGTGTCATCATGTGGGGATCACATGATGACTTCAGCATGGATGCGCTAGGCAGGATCCACAGTATAGCTGTGAATCCTGTATAGCGTAGTAGACAAGACAATTATTAACATTTTAGACCAACACAGAATCGTACAACTCTTTACTGAATCATTACGATCGATCGTGAAACCACCCCCTAGTAATTCCAACAATTTGGTATTTTTTATCCTTCTTTTATCTTTGCTCCCTTTTTATACCCTAATACCAATAAATTTTTGGTTCAGGTAGTGGGTAGGTTGCAGCCGACGGTAGACTCGGGAGTTTGTTTAGGAATGACATCTAATCTCGGGGAGAGAATGGAAATAGGTAACTCGTCATTTCAGTAACGATGTATCTAGTGAAAAGTTACGGCAGTCATTTTGGTAAGGTTCAGAGTTACCATTACTCAAATCTCATTAAGGAATAGAGTCTCGCTGTCGCCAAGCTTTCTGTTCCCGTCGTAGAGGATGTAGAACTAGACTCTTCGTAAGTAAATTTGATGTTCATTCTATTTTTATTACTTGCACGAAAAAGTTGATGGAGCTGTCCTTGTAATTATTTAATCATTTAATGGGTATTCAATTATCAATAACTAACTTTTTTGCCTTAGATTTTAGTTGCATGTGCAGCTTTCTAGCTATAATATAGTATCAGAAATGAGGTACAGAATGAATAAATCAATTTATTTATAGAGTACTCATGCCTCGGATTTCATTCGCAAGTACCACTGCGAAGTTATGCCGGCTTTTTCTTCACCTCAAGTCAGCCTTCATCCGTGAATACCCACCCAGGGGAACGACTCAAAAACCCTGAGTTATCCAGACATGCCTCCATTATCTTTCAACTTTCCTCCGCGCGAAATATGGTCAGAGATGTCTCCTTCCCAAGTGGAGTAGGTGCACAGGCTTCTCAGACTATACTGGAGAACACTACCAGGGGCGGACCACAACACCTTCTATCGTCAGCTTATTTTTATAGTGTCAGCTGCACCCCATCCATTGTCTATTCTCCGCTCAAAGTGTGGTCTGAAGTCTCTCCTTCCAAAGTGGAGTAAGTGCCTAGGCTACTCAAACTTTACCAGAGAAAACTTCCAGGAGGCGGAACACAGCGCCTTCCATCGTTGGCTAGCTTTTATAGTGTTAGCTGCACTCTCACACTCATTATATTGGTGCGTACAGCACTCTTTAATTTGTAAACCTCCTTGCTAAAGTTTGATATCTCACACCCGTAGAGATTGTACTCTTCCTTTACATCATACTGTAAAATTGCGCGGATATCTCTAACGCCTGTCACAAAGGACTTCCTTCCGAATGTGTGTGCCACGATTTTTGTTCTCCTGCGAGATTCGTGTTGTCGTGAGCGTATATGAAGTGGCCAGCTGATGCCAGAGAATAGTAGATAAGAGGTGTGGTGATTGAAATGAGAATATTATTGTTCTTAGTTCCAGACTTGATGAGGCTTAGGTACGTATCGATCTCATTATGAGAAGATTGTCATGGTGGAGTATCTTGAATAATTGCCTCGTGGAACAGGCTGTCCGAAATTGCGAAATTTGACTGGACTTGGCTCTGGAAGAATATTTCACTGTCAGGTTTGAAGAGAATTTAGCGTAAGGGTGCTCGGTCTTTGCCCTCAGTAAATACCTTTTGTGCATGTCAGATGACTCCTTTGGCCTCCGAAAAAGTCACATTCCGTAAATCATCAGATCGACAAAGTAGAGATGAACGGACCACATGTTGACGTGAAAATATGTCTCATCTAATCTTGAGCCCCTAGGATCAGAAGAGGGGCAAAGATGCGATGTCGATAGCCTAGACCGATGATGATTCGTCACATGCTATGACATCTATCTTCAAGATAGGATAGAATGGCGAGTTAATGCATCTCGCTCTCTGTGCCAGCTGCTCGACCAGCACGGTAAGGCACACAAGCGCCAGATCCCGATTAGAAATGCAGCAAGCAGGTTACGTGCAACTAGTCGCGAATAGTCGCATCAGTACCCTATTTCCAGCAGGTCTCGACCGGCGCCCAATTATCCAGGAATTCAGGTCAAACACTTACTCAATTCCCTTCCATAAGCCCGAGCATGGGAAGCGCGTTATCGCAGTTGTCATGCACGACAGATACATTTAGTCCACTAGAAAGTAAAGATGTGATCCATGGAAGTCTGGACAGGGTCAAGGGCATGAGTTTCTCTTCGGGTAGTATATGGATCCGGCCGAGTAGGCTGGATTAGGCGTCTGACATGGCCCCTCTCGCCAGCTGGGCTGGTTCACCATTCGTCAATACAAAAGTTGTCATAGTGGCTCAGATGACTCTGCGGTTGGCGTTCACGTCGGGTACAAGATTTGACCGGTCGGCCACTGAATGGAAATGACTGGTATTTTGAGACCCCGCTACGCCAGGAGATGTAGCTAGCGATCTAAGCATCGTTTTGAGCTAATGACTAAGCTGTAGACCTTTGAACACCTTCGGATCTCCAATAGTTCAAGGATTTGATAGACAGTGCTAACGCCATATCAAGTAGGATTCAGTGATTCACATCAGGATATCGGCAAAGACATATTTCTGTTCTCTCAGATACCAAAATATATGCTTACGTGACCTTTGTGGCTGACTACTGATGTCCTACTCGAACCCCAAATCATCAGGATCCTGACAATAAGAACACGAGGTCATGCAGCATGCGCATATAGGCCTTGCTGTTTTTTGGGAGACATATTCGTAACTTTCGAGTGAAAGCCTGACCTCTATCAAGTAGCTTCTCCGTTGCGCATCTCAGCCCAGAGCTGTAGCGGTGCAAGAACAAGGGAGTGTCGGTCGCTCAAGGTGTAAAGATTCGCGCTACGGCACCAGTAATCAACAAAGGGCCGTTCGGAAGCTTCAAATGACACAGTAATTTAGAATCTGAGAATAACATGTCTTTTTGTCTGGTGCCTGCTCACTATTTCAGGGGAGGAGGGAGAATTGTTCGGTAGAGTCTAAAATTATTTGGGGAAAAATCGTTAATATTTTGCTCTATCACCTTAGAATTGTGGAAGTAGTTGTTTCTTCTTGAATAGACACGGCAAGAACGGCGCTGTGGCAAAATATAGGGCCATGAGTTTAGTAAATCGAGTGTAACTAAAATGGCTTTCTACCTATTCATTTTCCAAAAAATATGAACCACATTGCTTTTAGAAATTACCGAGTCACATGAATTATTATATTAAAATTTGTATTACAACCAAAGCCTAAGCCTAAGTCACAGTCTGAACAGATGTGATAGACGCTTTGCGAAATTAATGAAAGCACTGTAATTTTATGAAGATGTAGATAGAAGAGAATGCCAGTCCTTGACATGTTCAAAAACAGGTTCTTATTATGCATAATAAATCCTTGCTTTCTATTTTAGCGCTGCTCAATGATCATTTGCCAGACCATATCGTAGCGCAGAAGCGGCTTTCTCTCTGTACTGCGACGCCTCCTTGCTTTTTCCTTGTAAATTTAACCACAAAACCTTACTTCGCACCTGTGCAGACAGAATATTTCTGTCTAGCGGCTTTCTTAAACCTGGGGCCATCAAAATTCGTCTATTAAACAATTTTATCCGCCAAAGTAGTTTCCTAACCACCCTAGGCAATAGCCTATATTTCCGGCACTTTCCAACTGAATTTGATTTTTTAGCAAAATAAGAAAATGTACGTTTGATATAGCTCTCTGTAACACTAAATTCGTTTCCCTGATTTCTCGAACGAAAGAGGCACCGGAATTTATTCGATGTATTGCGCAGTATTTGATTTATCTCTCGATAGAAGTCGTGAAATAAATCTCTACCAATCCACGAAGAACCAGACAAGAACTTATATAATCTGGCCTTGAATCCCCTCCCGAAGAGTTGTGTGTAGGATCGAAAATCAAGTAGGAATGATTGCTCGAGTTTAGGTCTATCTGAAGTCTTTATAATGACTTTAATAACTCCAAAAGCTTCCTTCTCTGAAAGTAATAATACTACACCTTCTTCTGAACTGTATGCCTGTTCTGTTTCGACAATTGACCCATCTCGGGTAATTTTCACAGATATAGCTTCTTTGTTGAGTATGCCTCGCTTAGATTGAGAGGGGATACGAATCAATATCTCTTTGTCTCCATATACTTCGGCTGTGCAGACAGGTGATTTCGATTGTGTCGAGGTATCTAGGCAGAATTTCTTTTGTGAAGATTGTCTCCTGTAAATCAATTTTTGTATTTTTGATCCAAAAGACTTATTTTCCATTTCGTTATTAGACTTTTGGGATGCTTTATATATTGGATTAGGTGGGATAATAGATGCGATGGGGGTCCAGTAATTTGGTCCATTTGAGGATCGTAGGAGTGAGGAAAGTGATAGTGTCCTACTATTAATTGAGATTGTCGGAAATTGGGTATTTCTGTAATTTAGTGTAGCTATTAATAGAATCACAGTAGCAAGGCTCAAAAAAGATACTCCAATTAATATTGCATTGATTCGAGAAAGGAAGTTTTTTCTATCTGATTTAAATTTCTCTCTAAGTATCGACGAATCGTCCCTAGAAGCAGAATTATCTCTGGCTGCGTATAGATTAGATTTTATCGGAGGTATGGTTGAGTCAGGGTTGTCAAGAGGATCATAAAGACCTGTAATGTATGCCAAATTTCTATTCATTTGCCGCGCATCAATATTTAAAAATGATACCAAATCAATAGGTAGTCTCTGATGAATTATTGAACCACTTTTTGTGGAATCTTTTGATTCTAAACACATATGAATCGAATGTGGATCTAGAGAGAAACATCGAGTACGGTCAAAAATTTGCTTGTGTGTGATGATAATTGAGGGTATATGATGGCGATTCATAAACTTTCTGGCTATTAATCTTGTGCGCTTCTTCTCGGCACTTTCATTTTCAGAACAATAAAAAATAGCGACATGTGGCAGCTCCCAGTGAGGATGAACAGTAAAGCTTCCATCATCAGATTGTATGGATTGGCAGACGAACTGGTCATCTAAAAATAGTTTTATATCCTCTGGTTTCCCAAAGGAGTCATCATGCTTAAAACTTTGTGCTAGACGACAGTTTTCAACCTTTATTTGGTATCCACTGGAGTGCATGAGCTCAATTTCGGGTGTTTTTTCCGACCCAAAAGCAGATATAGGAACGACATTGTAGAGTTGGGAAGTTGTAGATTGAAAATTTTGAGCTCGAGCTTTACTATCGATTACTGCTGTAACAGAACTGGCGATTTTATGTATGATTTCTTGCATAGCAGAGTGGCTTCCGATGTAAAGAATTCTTAAAGGTACTTTTGTGCTTAAACCTCTCTTGGTCATAGTTTGACGGATTGTGACCGTAATTTTCTTTGGACCGTTTTCAATCAAGGCTCCTCGCAAAGCTATTACAGTTTGATCTTCATTCAAATCAGCTACAGTATGTTTAACGCAAATAGCTTGGGGATTGGTTGCGAGCGGCTCATCGAATTCAATTGGCTGAGGGAGTACCCGATTCACCTTATCCACAACGCCATGAGAGCTTTGCCCAAGTGTAGGAGTGTTGAAAGCTTCATCCACCGTCTTATTTAAAAGGATTGAACAATTTTCTTCGTGAGGAGCTTCCTCTTCGCTATCCACACCACTACATTCTGTGCCCGCCAGGGATGTGATATCATCAGGTCGACCAAAATCTGTCGAAGCTATTGATTCGGTTGCATTATCATCTCGACTCTCCTCGTCTGTATCTACAAACTCGTAGGATGAGTCGCCTAGTGTACCATCTTCGGCCGGATAGTCGCTAGAAGCTATTGCCTTTGTAGTTAAACTTTGAACCCAAGTACTAACTCTGACGTCTGCATCGGGTGCGGGAAACCGTAAGCTGGTTGAGGAATCTAGAGTAGGCGTAGAAGAATAATTGCTGAATGATTCCATATTGTTAGCCACAGATTATCATTTCATATCTCACGGAGAAGATTAAGATAGCTTCGGATGTACAAGATCAAGACTGTTAAGCACTACCGAAGAAAACAGTTACTGCAAGTACGTATGAAAGAAGAGAGCATGTAGATGATAGTAAGGGATCAAGTATATAATCACCCACAGTAGAAACTGAACAACTTATGGTCGGGCACTGATTCCATACCAGTTCTCATGAGCTAAGTTCCAACAGGGTGATCCAGGGGGTGACTCCTGCCTGTCTGATATGCTGACAACGCTTTTCACACCAAAGGGATGTCTCAAATTAGTTGGTACCCATGAAATATTTATATTCTAGAAGACAGGAGATGATCGGAGCTTAGTATCAAAGTGTTAATGGTGTAGGCTGGTGAACCTGTGAATGACTATGCTGGTTGGTCTCACGGAGAGGGGCGAGGGCGGTAAACTTGGTAAGGCAACAAGTTCCACATGCCGGAGAAATAGCTGATCTGATCATTGAAATGATTGGATGATTGAAGAATATCAATAACAAATAGAAGTGAATAACATTTACAATCTACAGTATATCTAGCCATACGCCTTGAAACAAATTACAGCACAAAAGAAAATTCCATAATCAGCGGGCATTCAGCTTGATCTGTGGCCAACTGTCGTCTCACGGGGAAGGCTGTAGGTTAAAACATGTTGATCAATATCCCACTCTAGAGATATAAGCTTTGATAATGGCTTCATAAATGCTAAGAACAATTTATCCTGCAATATTACTGGTCCAAGATGCGGGATATCTGGGTAAATGAACAAATCAATATGATTATTTCGCCCACCTGAATAAGTGGTTGATGGTTATTCAAGAGTTACACTTTCCTATGTCGTTCGTGGTGAAATCTACGTCATAGCCGATGACCCCTCACTTGGCGGCGTAATCGTGGTCAAAATCTCCGTCCGTGTCAAATCAAAACACCCCTCTACTTCTATCAGAGGCCAGCTGCAAACACACTAGTCGCCACGATACAACCACAATTGAGCTTCATATCACGTTGCCACGAACAGGTGTTCCAGCCCAGAATTATTCAGTAACATTCGATTCCTTGTTATTCTCGAGGCGCTCAATCCGCACAGTGGTAAGCTCGGGTTTGCCCCCTCTCAGCTCACCTTTACCATCACAAGAACTAAGAGCTTCAGGCCATAGTTATCAATACCATCGTAAATGATGTGAGATATGATCTAAGTGAAATTGAAGTTAAATTTCAAAAAGCGGCTCATTATTTGCGGCCTCTAATCATGCCAAGGTCCATCATTGATAATTGAGATGGTGTAGCACGGAATCACCATTATCGTAATCCTTTACTGCCAATTGTAGTATTCACCTATCAGAGCTATAAACTCAAAGACCAAAACTAGATGCATTCTTCGGCTGCCCATAAAAGATGAAGAGGCTCGAGTGGTTAGATCAAAGTCTTGTGTGTCTGGTGATGGATAAGTTAATACTCCTGCTATTATAGCATACGATATAAAAGATGAGTTTGAGGGTGCCACCGGTCTATTATTTGGGGCGCAGCAGTATTGCTGTTGTAGCATCATAAAGACTTGAAATAGAATGGATAATTAAGGGTGCAGCCGCACAGGACCAGCCAGCTTGAATCCAACATACAGAGATCATTTCACTCCAAGTACCGTGATGAAGGAACCCATTTCAAACACTGAAGACCCGACGATCCTGTACGATCGACCCAGCGGCACACTGTAGTTGATTGTTTCAATGTTATCACACACTTTACGTTATTTAGTTGTTTTGGATAAGCAAGATAGCTCATCGAAATGCTATTTTGGAAACCAGGTATTACTTCACACTTCATTGAGTTATACACATTGTATATAATGCTCCTTGCCGAATGATTGCCTACAAAACTATGCGCTCCTTGCAGCTAGTAGAGCCAATGCACGCCGTTGGTACGTCTTTTGGAACAGATAAAACTCATGAAGCAAATCAGGGCAACTAATTACTGTGTCATAATTTGATTTATTCCTCAATTAGCTATAAAAATTTATCCATAGACATATACTCCGTGCTTACAGGTCCAATAGACCTAATCATCAGATAGTGTATTTCTTAAATCTATTTTAGAATTACTATTTAACTTTACTACCACTCAAATATTCTTTGTAATATTACACAAAGTTAGACTATTCTCCTTTCATTATGTTCCATCTCCATCAAATAAAAATCAAAATTGTTTGCGGATGTACACCATATAGTAGGTCATACAAGTTTCTCTGTACTTTCTATCAAACTGGCGAGGATTAAGTACTACTCGACAATAGACACAATTTTTAAATGTTATATTGGTATTTAGCTGGCTATCCATAATTATTGCTTAATTACTTTTGAACATGTTGGATGAACAATTGGCTTTATACATACTCATCCTGTGTATTTTGTTCGCGATAACCATTGGAGGGTGTGTTTATTTACCCCAAAGAACCATCCCTCCGAATACTCCCTGCCTGTAGGTAGAAAAGACCTACATGACCTTACATAGTTATAGACTTTATAGGACAATCAAGACATACACAAAACAACTAACCCTCTGTGGCTTCCCACTACATGAAAGTTTATAAACCTTTAAATACCCAAGCATACTGTCGTTGTCCATGTGTTACGGGATTAATACCTTGTGCTTGTACTGTCTGCGCCAGTACGGTAGGGATGGAATATAGAGCCTAGCCAGCTACGGGGGCTACCAATGTTGCGGTCTGGATATGGTTGCTTAGCAACATAGCTTGTTATGATTGGCGCTGACAATTACAATTCTCTATGTGTGCAGCGAGAAGTAGGAAATCTTCTTTCTCTAGATTTCATTAATTAACTGATTTATTCTGGACTTGCTCTGCTATATACCAACACCAATTGATCCGGCGACACCACGAATGCGTAACGCGAGAAATGAGATCCAGTTTTGCCAGATTCGAACCAGCGTTCTACTGTGCCAAGTGTGAAATGTGTCGAAGGTTAAGAATAACTATCAAAGAGATTTGACAGGGAAATAGCTCTGGTCAGAATTGTGAACTGTAATTAGAGCCGCAGGTAATCTATTACTAGCGTGTATCTATATTTATAGTTCAATAGATCACGATCAGTGTACTCTGTGGCCATGGGTTGGAGTTTGCAGTGGGTTTGGATGCTGCAACTTTTGCCTTGTTTGTTGAAATAGAAGTTTGATAGAGTAGCGTAAGCTGTTAAACTTGTGTTTAATGTAACCAAGTGAAATGAGTTTGGTGATTGAAGAGTTCAAAAATAGCCTATGGCCACGATTTCAAGTTTATAGTGGATTTAAACGGGGCGCATTTTCGCAATTAGAGGCCTAACTCCTGATAGCGCCTAATTCGACAGGGGTTTAGAAACTTTGTCCTGTATTTCAAGGCCAAAACTAAGGGCACAAATTGATTTCTCGTCACCCTCAGACTTATGCAAATACAACCCATTCTCCAGATCTCTTCCCCCACTTCTCTATCCGCCTATCGCTGAATGATTATACAGCTCTTTCTTTCTTGTGCTCAACTGACAATAAAACGAAAATTTCTCAGAAATAAAGTAGTTTTATTAGCAGATACATGGCTTTACTCGATTCTAAACTTAATTTGCAGATCAGTCATCCTCAAACCCCACATTCAACACCTCGATTCAAACAATTATCCAGAGATCAAAATATTTTAGCAACACGAAAAATGAAATATTAAGTAATGGAAATAAAAGATATTTTTTCAAAAAACATAATTTTTGCCAGAAAGCTGCGCAGCGTTCCACGCTACCCGTATCATCAATTTAACATCGTGATCATTATTTTTACATCTTCATTACCCTCTTCTCATATTTTCGCTTTCTGTGCTCCAATATGGCGAGTGTGGGTGCTGGTGTGGGTAAATCCAGCGGTTTCGACGCGTCGCAAAATGCGACAACGGCATCAAAAAACAACAGTAGCGGAGTGCAGATAGTTCCAAAGGATCCCAACTTGGAAATAACAGGGAAGTTATTGAAATAGGTCAGACTAATTGTGATGGGAGAGATGGATGAGGAGGACCTACCAACAATGGAAGACGTGAATGAAGCTGTCAAGGAATTCAATTATCACAAGAAGACTTAGATAACGATGTCCTAGATCCCATCTCCGATCGAGGAGAGGATGATAGCGTTGGAGGAGGTGGTAAAGAAAAGTGTTGCTGACGCCGCACGACAAGCTGCTCCTGTTGTGTCGTCAGGGAAGCCGCTACAAAGGACCTACGCGTCAGTTGTAGCTCCGCAAATGGCGAAAACGATGGTCAGAATAAGAATCGACGGCGCACAAAATTTGCAGCCACAAGAGCTGCTAAAAAAGGCACAACAACACATTCAAGGCGCATACGCGATTCGCCAAATGCGTAGCAACGACACTGAGATGTTTGTCCAGTCGGTGTCCCAGAGAGACGCGGCGCTCGACACTCGCCAACCCAACGACTTTAAGATTCTACGGCAAGATTTTCCCGTCGAGGCTCCTGGTATCCCTTTGCGGACTCGAATTGAAGGTGGCAAAGATGCCGAAAACCACGCTATCATCATGCAGATTGAGATTATATCTAAGGCTCGAATTCATGGCCTGGTGATTAATCGAATCAGGTGCCTATGTGATGGAAAGGAACATCAGCGATCGAAGAAAAACGGTCGCAATCGAGGATCAATTGTGGTCAGCCTCCCACCAGAGGCAATGCAAACGGAGGTAGTTCGAAAGGGCCTTGTCATCAATGCCATGCTCTTCATCGCGCAGGTGTGGTCACCATGACCCCAGCCAAAGCAGTGTTACAACTGCAGCCAGTGAGGACACACAAAAGCGTCGTGTGGAAAGGCAGCCAGGTGTGGTGAGTGCGTAGGAGCTCACCAAACTCGGGACTGTCCTAGTAAAAGGGTCTCTTGTGCGAACTGCGGCAAGGAAAACCGTTCATGGCAAAAAGGAGCGTGTCGG